TCAAATATTCACACAAAATGCTACATTCACGGCCAAGCCATGTTGAAACATCTTCTGAAATTAAACAATTTATTAAAGATAATATTTATTGTTCTTCTTTTGAAATTTGTCATCAGGTTTGTGAAAATCAAATTAATGGATACGAATGTATAACTGTTCAACAAATTTACTACTGGTGGTCAGTAGAATCTCAAAAAATATATAATCGACATTCAGATCCTTTACTATCTGCACAACTTTTAATAGAGGAATGTGGCTTACAAATTATATTAAATCATCTTAATTTACCTGTTCCTGCACTTGGATTTTTAACAACATTATTTCATCGATTAATTTATAATAAGTTGGATGCGATAGTAATTGATGCAACTTATGGCACAAATAACTTATCATAGGAATTGTATACACTCATGGGCGTAATTGATAGTACCGGGTTTCCTTTTAGTTATTTGTTAATTTCAACTGGAAAAAATTGAGATATAACAGGAATTCTTACATGCTAGATGCAAGCTTTAAAAGAACAACATTTGAAATATTTTCTATTTATTTTAATTGACAAAGACTTTTCAGAAATAAATGCAGCACAAACAGTTTGGCCAGAAGCTCATATACAAATATGCATGTGGCATATGTGTCATGCTATCAAACAATGATTAGCATCAAATAAAATAAATATATACTATACTTATAATCCTAGAATTGCACATGAGAAATATTTATTAATAGATCCTAATTGGGGTACTGTAAATAATTCTAATTCGACAGTCTTTTGCCCCTTGAATTTACATAAAACAATAATGGAAATTATAGAGAATCATTCAAGCCGACATATGTTACTACCAAAATCTGATGATAGTTTTGTTACAAATGCAAATGAGATTTGGAAAGAGTGTATTAATGAAATTTTTCAATTCTGTAAATATAATGACTTACTTAGATTGTGGATATACTTCTGAAAAGAATGGTATTCAAAAGAAAAGTGGGTTTTATAGGCAAGATCAGCTAATGAAAATATTTCCCATATTAAAACAACTATGATCGTTGAAACGCATTGGTGCTACATTAAGCACAATCATTTATATAAATTTCACAAACCTAGAGTTGATCATTTATGTTTTATTCTTATCAAAAAAGTTCTTACTCAACAATTGTATCAAGTTCAACTACTTTAGCAAGGTCGATATTCAGTACTATGGTGAAAGGAGTTTAAGAAAGAATGGAAGCAACATGAAAAGCAAAAAACACAATTAAATAATAAGTACTTTACTGACCTGGCTAAGTGGATATGTGCATGTCCTGCATATATCCAAAGTCATTTTTTTTTATGCAAGCATCTAGTTAATTCTGTTGAAAAAGCTGATTTGATATTCTTTAAGAAGGCAAGTAATAATTATTTGAGATTCAATATATATATATATATATCATACTATTTTATATTATAGATGCAACGAAATAGAAAATATTCACTAATTTTTTCATATAAAGGCAAATTGGTGAACATGTTTAACTCGGAAGATACTCAGAATCATGAAAATATAACTTTTCCATTAATTCAAAACCCACAAATTGAGCATGAAGACGATTATGTTATTGAAGGCAGTGATGATGAATGGGATATGTACGAATCAGAGTTAGCATATTTGCATAAAGTCTTAGATAAGGTATTTAAATTTTATTATTATTATTATTATTTTTTTTAAAAAAAAAATTAAAAAATTCTATCATATTTTAAGACCAAAGAGCTTCTTGAAGAATTACGTACCAAGTTGAAAGGACATTTATGGCTGCACAATATTCGCCCGAATTTTAGATTACTGGAAAAATGAATAATGACATTTTATTATTAAATAACCGACGAACGATGCCAAGAACATAGCAAGACTTTAATAATAATACAAGATATTGGGAATGATAAACTTATATTTATTTTTGCAGCAAACAGTTAGGGATGAATATACATTTCTAATTATATTATTCAAAATAATATATACTGTAATTCGTGGTGAAAATAAATATAATTTAAAATAAAAAAGCTGGAATTTGGGTAAAAAATTTGTTACTCAATTGAATCTATTGTTATATTAGCGTTAGTATGTTTATTTATTA